GGAAGGCAAACGCCATCACTCTCAACAACCCCCCTGCTTCCTTCTTCTTCCCCCAGCTTTATAATGCTGAGCATGACATCATATGGTATGGAATATCCCTTGGGTCAGGTGGGGTCAGCTGTCCCAGCTGTGTCCCTTCCCAACTTCTTTGCACCCCCAGCCTGCTCGCTGGTGGGGTGGGGTGAGAAGCAGAAAAGGCCTTGACTCTGTGCAAGCACTGCTCAGCAGTAACTAAAGCATCCCTGTGTTATCAATGCTGTTTTCAGCACAAATCCAAAACACAGCCCCATATTAGCTACTATGAAGAAAATTAACTCTATCCCAGCAAAAGCCAGCACATCCTCCCAGGACCATGAACTGTTAAGCACTGCTTCTCCTTGTCCAGCAGAAAACAGGCCAGGAACACACAGAAGCCCTCCACCCAGTCACTGGAGATGAGAAGTGGGTGTATTTTGACAGACAATTCCCAACCCACTTTTCAATTTTTGTTTCACAGTTTTTCAACATTTATTGATCTTATGATATTATATCATCCATTATTAACTTGCTATCTGGGAAATGTCCAGCTAAAATCGGGTCTGATGTATTTGAGCAAACATTCCAGTTTCATATGGACAATGTTTTTCGTTCAGGCACAGATAACCAATGGCCGGTGACCCCCAGGGCTGTTGATGTTTTTGCCAGATATTATCAAGCCTTTATCTCGGAATATAGGTGAAGCATCATGAATGCAAAAAAAAAGGGCAGTAACATTCAAAGGGTACAGAATAAAGTATGCTGGCTTATTTATGCATACATTGGCTATGCATTTGTTTAGATTTTTCAGATACCCTTCTACACTCATCCTTGGCCAATCAAAAAGGTTTAAAAAAGCAAGGCCCAGACATCAAAGTTCTCAAGATGGATTTAAAAATCAAGGTTTTTATAAAACAAGTTAATTATAAATTCTACCTGTCTGACTTCAGAACCTGCCCATTGTACACACTTCACGGTTAAACATTTTCTTCTGCATCTCTGAGATTATACATGTTAAGCAGCTGTATTCAGAATATACATATATTATTTTGATTTCAAAGGTAGATTTTAAAGACCTCATGCTAGATATAATCATAAATACTTGCCTATGTTAACCTACTACAACTTATAGGCGTGAATTAAAGCTTAAATTTTAAGAACAGTATAATGCCATAAGCCCCAAAAAAGTCAAATCCCTTGGAACTTCCTCTGACCCCATTCTTAACATCAAATTCTTAACCCCACCTTTTTCCCCAGCCTCTCAAGCCCCTCAGCAAACAGGTCAGTCTTGCAACACATCCTTAAGGTCATCAACTTGCAATTAGGGTGTTTTTTTCTAGAAAGCAATTTGCAGCCAAAGACACAGAGAACAAGACAAGGAATACTGACACCCTTTTTATTCCCTGTATTTGTTCTTGAGGCCTGCTAAGCAACGAGAGTTTTGTAACTACATTGTCAACCTGCTCACCTGACAGTTGGTCTCCTCCAAATAGCTTTTGCACTTAAGGTCTGTTTGAATGAAATTTGATAGACAAGGTGATGAAGCTTCTAAAAGTTTGATAAAAAACTGGTGACTGGTGAAGAAAAATAAGCTGGCAGGGAGGGGAAGCTATAGCTGCAGCTGCTGCTTTGAAGACCATAATTGAAGCAAATTTATCTAACATTGCATTTGCATCAGAGGGTAACCTGTTTACACCCAGCAGATAAAAATGAGACATGAATGAAGACATGACGCATTTACATATTTTTCCATCATACTTGGGGCATTTCTGTTAAATCCGAAGCTAACCCAAAAACAGCAAAACTTTTTTTTTTCCCCACATCAAGGTGTAAAATCAGACCATCCTGCTCTGAAGCTATGAGGCACCACAGACTAAAAAAAAGTAAAGATAAGTCAGCAAAGAATTCTCCTATAAGCAACTGGAGCCACATGTGTCTTTGTTAGCTGTACTCTTGCTTAGGAGCAGGCACAACAGCAGCTGCAGAGCAGCACAGGCTACAAGATGGATAACGTCTTGCTACCTGCCTAATTGACTGAGCTGTGCGATTTGATAATCCCAGCCTGTGAGTGAAGTGCTGCTGCAGAAGGTAGAGAACAGTCAGCTAGCGTAGCAGTTGTCCTCCCAAGAAATCAGAGATATCTGTAAATAGTTATGGCTATACTTTAGGAAAGGAGTAATTGGTTATTGAATATTATCTCCTTTATTTGTCAGCTCTCTTTTTCTTTTCCCCCTAGACTAAAGTCCTATTTATTAAGCATTTGATACCCTGTTTTTCAAGTGTGGCAGATAAGCTGCTTTTTGGTGTGTTCTCCACAATGTCTGGAGAGAGCTTTAGGATGAATGTTTATTACCAACTCCTTAAAGTTTGAATGTGGATCACCTCTTACTGTTGCAAGTCAAGCCTTAGTAGAAGTCATAAGAGATAAACAAGCTTTTGATAAGCTAGTGAGGAGAAATGACATGTTTGGATAAATATTCCTATTCCTGCCAGCGATTTGTTTATAGAAATAGCTTCATTAAAACAACACACAACACTTACAAGCAACAAATATAAAAGCAAAATAAGTATTAAAAAAGATATCAAACTGGATAAGAAATGATAAAAATACATTATACTGACTCAAGTACAACCAATATTTAATTACCTGCTCTGACTGTGCCTGGGGTGCTTGTCCGTGCTGTACTTAAATAATAGAGTCCAATCTTTCTTTTCCAAAGAAATCAAGGACAAAACTCTCTACAGTGGGAACAGAATCTTACTTTTACTTCTGCAGTCAATTTTGCAGGAATTGTACATTTTCTACTGTTTATTCATAGTGTTTCTATTTCATACATAAAAAATACATAAGCCACTGTCAAGAAAATGATCAGTGTCACAGTGAACAGCACAGAACAAAAGGAGAAAAAAAGAACAAACAATCTGCAAACAATAGACAACTAAGGGAATTATGTTATAAATTACCTAATCTGATGCCTTTCTTCAATATGACTGCCCATTTGAAAAATTAAACAGTATTGTAAGTAATGAATGGGGGTGTGATTTGGAGCACAGCAATGATGTGAATATTATTTTTAACTGATGAGATGTATTTCAAATGTCTTTGATTATTTACACAACATTTATTTCACCACTTTTTCTTCAATGTTCCAGAAGAAATTCTGAATTCTTATAATGAAACTTTCTAAAAACATAAACAAAAGAAATGCCCTACTGCATCAGAGCACTGGTTCATCCAGCCCAGCATTCATCTCTCACAGTGGCAAAAGACAGCTATGGTTAGGAGAAATATATGACCTGCCCCTTTCTGCAAACCATTCCCCTTGTACTTTTCCAGTACCCAGAATCATTGTACTAGGGATTTAAAAGAGCACATATCTGCTTAGTCCTTCTAGTATCCACTTAAGGACTTGCTGTCCATGAACTTTTCTAAGCCATTTTTGACACTGCTGATACTGTCTACCTCCACATCTTTCTGCAGCAACAAGTTCCAAAAGTTCACTACCCATTGCATGAGGACTATTTTTATCCTTTTAAAACTGATTCACACTAGTTTTGAGTGCCCCCGGTTCTCATATTGTAAGATTCTCCATTTAGCTTATCTACTACCAGAGAACTGCTAAATGTGTCCTGAAGTAACTATAAAAGAAAGCCACTGCTTCAGCTCTATGCATTTTAGAATGTGTTTTCTTAGACACCAGACATGCTAAATGTTGGATTTTTTTTTTTAATAAGAATTAAATGAGGTACGGGTTAAGGGTGGTTACCCATTATATTTCCCAATGTTTCTCACAAAAATAAGTCAAAGAAAAACTTCAAAGTCAAACATATAAACCCAAGTCCATTATATATCTAGCACCTTTTTCTATGAGAAGCTGATCCAACCCTTCACCCCAACCAGGATTTGGGAAATTTCTCATCTGAATCTGACCTTGTCATTTTGGACTCACATTGAATTTTTGCATTTTCTTATTCAGAGTTTGAATTTCGTATTCAGGCTTCAGCCACTCCCTGGCAAGCAATTACTGCCTTTTAAGAATGTCTTAAACTATCCTGAATAAAAGATTTTGAATACAATGAGACAACATCTTCTCCTTTCTGCTCAGCAGAGGATATCGGCGTGTCCTGTGAAAGGTATGAATCTTAGTATGTACTGAATTATTTTAATAAATACAAAAAAATTACCAGCAACTCTCTAAAGAAGTCTATGGAGGCTACTACAGCCAAAGAGCACACAAAACTGCTCAGATTGAGAATGCCAAGGCAGCTTTATGTCACTTCATGCCATGCCTAGATTACATCAGTATTAAGCCAGTCAGTCCCATTCTGTGTACCAGTCTGAAATGATGTAATGTTGATAGAAGCCTGTTATAAATTTTCTGGAGCTGGAAGAGTAGCAGGTACTCACACAGAAGCTATGTACCACCAGCTTGCAAGTGCACCTTGAGCTACATCCCTTTTCCAAATCTGAGTGGCCTCCTTGTTTCCCTTTCACTAGTTCTCTGCTAGGTAAGGATCTGTAAAAACGGGGATATAGATATAGCCGTCATTTGACCACAAATATTTCAGCATATTTTCAGTTCAACTGTTTTTACAGTAAACAGAAAACCAAGATTGTGTAATACCTGCATACATAAACTGGACCTTCTTAATGCCAGGCTCAGCAGCATACTGTTAGAAGCTAAGTATTTTTCATAGTAAACCACTATTGCACAATGCCTGCTTAAAGAATCACAAGCGTAATCCAGAGAGTACTATAAGGCTTACTTTCCTCAAAATCTGCTCAATCCTATATAATAATTTACTTGCTGTTTGCAAACATTAATCTAGGGTCAAGGTAATGGCCCTGTGACACAACACTTAAATTTATATAAAACCATGCCCTTTTAGTATTCATTTATAACTGAGGTGGGCTACTCTAATTTAAAAGCAGAATACTGGTTTTATCAGAGCATGGGCAGAAGTGACCTAACACCACAAACAAAATGCTGCTTCTAGCTTCCGCTTTTTTTCTAACGCTACTGCAGTGCTCTAATGCCCAAAACAGAACAAGCATTACATCTGCAGACTGTAATACCACTGAAACAGATGCAGGAATGGCCCTGGATTTGGTCAACGGACATTGCAGAGATGGCTATGTTTTTGGTTTATTCCACATTGCTGATGTACAAGAACTACATATAGTAAGTATCAATTTAAAGGCTGATTTACACAAGACTGTGATTTTAAAATAATGAGCCAGGTCATTAAAAGCTTATGTTTACTGCTTTTAACAGAGAAATGTTGATGTAATTCAATGAATCAACTCTGATTTACACTCAGTATTCATTTGTGCATGACATTGTACGTAAGCTTGTTTTTGAACAATGCTGAACGCCCTCTATTCTCTTGGCCGACAGGATGTTAGCGTAAGAGTTGCTCTGAACAGCTTTCTACAACACAAGAAATTAATCTGTCCTGTCTGTTGTCAGGTCTCAGTTGCTATGTTGAAAATTTGTATTAGGATGGTTTCTTATTCTGTGAATGTCTAAGGTTAATTAGATCAATGTATCCTGCAAGATAGGTATTTTGTTATTATCTTAATTTTGGAAATAGCTGGATGACTGGAGGGAAGGGAAGAAGGTAGAGGAAGCCAAAGGAGACGAAAATACCACTCAGCAAAACAGAGGAAGGGCTGGATAGAGAATCCGTATCAGTCATTTCCTATTTCCTTCCTATTTCTATTTCTGTTTCCTAGAGAGGATACCTAAGCCTTTCTCAATGATTGCCTAAATGCCAAAGCAAATCAATAGCAGAAAAAGCAAAAGAATACAAAATTTCTTTAACTAGTAGATAAAAGAGACCAGGGACATGCAGATTTACTAATGCACCTGGCTACCTTTTAGCTGCTTGGCTATGAAACTCCAGGCACACATGCACTGTTTAAGAAGTGTATTACACATCTCAGTATGGCAACTGAAAAAACAGGCTAGTTTTTGATGGAACTGCTTAAGACTGCCTTTTAGGACAAGAAAAAGCTCAGAAAGTGACCCAAAGCCCAGATTCCTATGGGTCTTCAGGTATACATTCAAAAAACCTGATGGATTGTTTTGCTTTTCAAAGACAAGGATGTGGCAAGTGATACTATTGGGTTTTATGCAATAGCCAGGTAGTTAAAGGGCTCATCTAGGAAGCAACCAGTCTTCTTCAGCATTAAGAGATTTAAACCCTCAAGTCTCCTGTCCTTGAAGAATGCTGCTGCCATGCAGATAAGTGTGTGCCACCCCTGTGAAGTAGAGCCACTGCACAGCAAGACAGGCAAAATTCAGTGGGTAGATGAGAAAAAACATAGCTGTTTCCAAAAAGAAATATCTCAGTGTTTCTACATTTTAACCAGTTATTGACTATATAAACTATAGAACCATAACTTGGAATAGGGACCAGAGCTGAGGATTCACACTTCCAGATGAATGCTATAATCACTAGACTACCATGCTTATGTTTTACTTTGTACCCTTAATGAATTTTGCTGTCTTTGCAGTCCAGGGCCAGAGCTTCAGCTGTCACACAGTCTACAAGAACAGAAAAGACCCTTCTATCTGTCTTACTGCTAAACAATTCTCCCTGTAAGGTCTCTGTACCTTCTCAGAGCCAAGGCCACTGTGTGTGGTCTTCTGCATGCTGATCATGTACACTATGGTGCAAGAAGTTATGTTGGCTCCACTGCCAAGATGATGTTAAAAAAATAATATTAAAAAAAAGAAAGGACCAGAACATTATTTTGATTATCTCCATGCAATAGCATGCATCAAATCTATCACATCAGCTGCCTTAGAAACTTAAACTGAGCAATTCCTAGCAGCCAGATCTCTACTGGGTTTACATGGGCATTCTAGAAGTGTAAGATGCTCAACTATTCACACTAGAACGGTTCTGGGCTTGTGCAGTGCAGAACTCTGGTGCCCAAGACACTTTTAAAACTACCAAGAAGGCTGTTTTAAGATATTTTTTTCCAAGAGCTATCCAGCAGACAAACAGAGGAATTTTCTACTGCCTATTTGGATGTAGACACTTAATTTCACCCAAGCTCTGCTTTAGGCTTTATTGAATCCAAATGCATCCTGCTAAAGAAAGTAAGTATTTGCCAGGGATGAATTGTCTTCTTAAGCATTTCACAAGTTTGGATGACAAAGTAAATGTATTTAGTCATTTCAGTTTTAGAGGGCTCCTAGTGAATAGCACATTTTACAAAAGACTATCTTACCTTTCCATTCAGTGCAACTCCATAAATACAAATCAGAAAAAAATAGTCTTTCTCACCAGCTCTGTCCTCTTCTCTGTCTGCATTTTACTAATATGTTGACTAGCAGCTTGAAATTACTGGGATTTATAAAATAAAATAGAAATACTAACTACCCCTAAGCAGAGAAAGTGGCTAGTGGGCAGGATGGGTGTCCAGGACAGCTATATTCTTTTCCTGATTCTGCCATTGAATAACATGTGTCTTTGTGCAAATCACCTAGCCCCTATTTTAAAAACAGAGACAATGCTAAGACATACGCATACTGCAAAACTAGTGTTTAACATGACACTGGTGGACTCTTACTAATAAAAATATTACACTAGACTGCAGTAATTCTTTCTCAAGGTCTTGTCTATACAGAAACACTCTGAAAAAGGAATCTGAATGGATGAAATTTCATAAAACCTGAGGACACTTATTCACAGTGACGGGCTTTGCATCATTTTATCTAAATGACAAAATAAAATACATCTGTGTTCATTCTGAATGTCCATATTGGGGTTGCATGAAGTTTAAATAATCTATTCCAAATGTAAATTGAGATTCATTGTCCTGCAGAAAAATACAAAACTGCTTCTGTGGACCACAGATAATGCTGAACATCACATCCCTTTACACTGGCAGCCAAATTCAAATTCTGATTCTCCATCCTATTTGCTCAGGAGACAGAACATAGCAGAAGAATTTCAGAGGTAAGGCTCCTGACTTTGTAGGGATTATTACAGCTTTGTTGCAGCACTCCCTGAATAAACTGAGCAGGAAGCAAAGTTCTGAAAGAGTATCTGGTCACTAAGGTCATTTGAAATGGATGTAGCTATATAATTGGCTGCCTAGACAACTGATTTCCTAATAGATCAATATGTTCTATGTGAAAGTCAGAAAGAGGGAATGGCAACTTTTTAACATTGGCTTTTTCCCTACTTGATGGATGCCAGGTTAACAACAGACTCTTCTCACAGGTTCTCAACAAAAGGATATGAGGCAACAGTTCTAAGCTGCAGGAGGGAGAATTCTGACTAGATGTAAGGCCAAAAACAAAATCATGGAGAAAGTGATTAAGTACTGGAATGGCCCAGAAAGGTTGTGGAACATCTGTCTTGGTGATATATAGAATTCAGCTGAATCTAACTTTGAAGTTAGCTTTGCCTTGAGCAAGTGGCTGGACAAGATGACCTCCAAAGGTCCCTTCCAGCTTAATCCTTTCTATGCTTGTCAGCTCAGAAAAACCTTAATAGGGAACTGGGAAAGCTACATTAAAGATTAAACATATCTACTTCAAAGAAAGTTTCTTTCAGACCAAACTTCTTGTATACAAACTCTTTTTTACCTGCACTTCTCTTCCAGGGAAATTCATCAGTCCTCTACTTAACTTTGGATGTGCTGGAAACTGAATGCTCTGTACTATCCAGAAGACACTGGGAGTCTTGTGAGTACAGTGACACCTATTCCATGGCAGTTAATGGCACCCAGGCAGAATCAAATGTCAGTAATGCATTAACTTGATCTTCATCTGGACTGCCCAGAAATTTCTGTGTAACAAAATCTCTAAGTGAAGACTAGGCTTTAATATGGCTCACTATAAAATAAAATCTATTGAATTCTAGAGTTGTTAAACATAAGCTGAAGGTTTGGAAAAGGGTTGACTCCTCAAATGAGTGTAGCTGTATTTAACTACTTGTCTCAAAGGAGCTATACTCCGCATTCCACTGCTGGTAGCAGCACTGATGTTTTAAGAATTTGCTGACAACTAAAGGGCACCAGAAATTATTTTTTAAGCATGTTCCTAGTATACTAGCCAGAAATACCAGTGTTATATTTTGTCAGTTTTCTGTCATAGTATTTGCGGCATGACAATGTGAAATATTGGTAGTGTCAGTACACACATGATATGTAGCAATACTTGCCCTTTATTGTTGCAGTCCAATGATGCAGTCTGGGATGAGAACTACCAGTCCAAGACTTTATTTAAATAGAAGAGTGGTGATACTACTGCACAGGACAAACCAGCAAGGCGGAGAGGAGAGGAGAGGAGAGGAGAGGAGAGGAGAGGAG